GTATGTGCCACACAGTTGTGACACCGAAAGATTAAAAATCCTTTAATAACGGAATATCCATTCTCTTTATTTCAAAAGTTTGTCATATTAATTCGATCGTTTCGTTAATTTTTAAATATTTATCTGATATGATTTTTTTATACGTATTGTTAAAAAAATGGTAAACGAAATAGATATCGAACATTTTCTTAAGCTATGTAATACGGAATCTTTAATCTTCGTTTTCAAGTTCGATACGTCTGTCACGCGTTTACTTCATCCCTGAACAAACGGATATTGAACACTCAGTTCTAATAAAAGCGACGTTAAATCGAAAGTTTAATTTTGTCGAAATTAGCCGCCTGCGTTCAACGAACTTTCAAGGATCTAATCGCCTGGAAGCAATATAGAGGACGTTGTAATACCTCATTCCCCGTACGAATCTCGTACTGCGCACATTGATCCTCTTAAATTCCCATGTACCTTCCGTCTTGGCATTAGCATATTATCTCACCTCCGTAACCCCCCCCCCCTCTTTTCTCTCGTCGCAGTCTCCCTTCGGCCTCCTTCTGGCACCTCGGTCCTCCTGATTCGCGAAGGACTTCGCAGACACTCGAGAGTTTGTTTTAAAACTCAGATAATCGTTCCAAACTCTCGTCGTGTCTTTCTCTTTCTCGTTCTTACCCCCGTGTCTATATTCCCCGCTATGTTTCCCCTTTCAGTCCTCTCCCTGCCGTTCTCCGCCGAGTCCCAAGGGGAAAATTAGACCGAAATAAAAGTTCTCGCCAATTTTTAAGCGCGTTACACTTGTCTCTAAGGAGGATGAGATTACGCGGCTCGATCGAAGCTCCTCGTCGGGAAACGGAGCTAAAACTCCAATGAGTCTTTTCGCCGTCGTTACTATTTGCGGAGCAACGGCGTTTTTTCTTTAATTGACTTTCTTCTAAAGATACGAGCTTCTCAACTTCTTTATCCCGGAATTATTTCTGGATATCAAAAAGTAAACTTTTTAATATTCGGATGAAGTTATTAATTACGCTTAAATGGAGCGTCTCGCAGCGTCGTTTAACAATAAAAAAACTATCGATTTTGAAGCAACCCCTTTGCATAAAACTCGCATTCCAACGTACGATAAAGTTTCAATAGGTCGACCAAGATATCGGAAACGATCCGTCATCCGTCTCTCTATCGAGACAACTCGATTGTCGATGCTGACGGCTGAAGGCGGTCCAGTCTCGCCACTTCCTTTCACTCCCTCGACTCCCTCTCTCGATTCACCCTAGATCAGGCATACTCGAGTTATTCGTAAGCAACATTCTCCGTGGCATTATTCGCCAAAAGCGCGGTGGATTCTCCCAGGGCGGCTGAGAAAGATTGGGACAGCTGTCTGTTCTCAGGCAATCAGAAAAAACTACCTTCCTACCTTCCCTTCCTTCCTTCCTTCCACCATCCGTCGACGGTACTTCGCCGCGGCTTAAGAAGAGTACAAGGGTGGCAGCTGCCTCCAGGACGAGCACCCTCTTCGCGGTTTTTAAGAATCTTAACGCCTTTCTCTCTTTATATCTCCATCTTCTGTCTCTCTTCCTCTTGCATGCTTTATAGCTGCTCTTAGTTTCGTTCTTGTATTTTATCAGCGTTAAACGTCTAACGAGAGCCAAACATTTTTTTCTTTTAGAATTTCTTTCTTATCGTATTAGTACTATAAGAAATATCTTAATTGATCTAAACTCGCGTATTGACGTTTCACTTCAGTCATTTATTTGTGCACGATCATATTTGCGACGTTATTTCTATCTGAGACAAAAAAGAGTGTTGCAATACACGTGTTAATTCCTCTTATTTAGATGCAAAATGTGAAACGACCCTCAGGCTAACTAGCAGATATCTTGAGTGTTCTCCGCGATCGAAGATATTCACGCTCCAGGAACGAGATGTCAAGAGGGATCCATCAGGCTTTAGCGTAATAGATGCGCAGACGACATTAGCATGCCACGCCGATTATTGGCATTAGTCTGCCATCCCGTTATTTCGCACACCGGTCATTTATAACCCGTAAACCCTCCGAGCGAATCGATATTGCGTGTGAAAGCTGCTGGATCGCGCAATATCGCGGAATACACCGCGGACGTGCCAATTTTTTCCGATTGACGGTACCAGAAATTTACACGAGGGAAAAAAACAACAGCATCGATTTCCCCGTGTCGGGCAATAAAAAATATCTCGTATTAATTAAAGCGACACGTCTCTTATACCGTTCGAGAATTGACGAGTTCACGAATTTTGAGACGCGAGACGTCACGTCCGATCTCGTCGAGGTAGATTTGCGCGCGCCTGAGGCTTTCTGAAAAATGTTTACAGGATACAGGTGCTAAATTTGTTTAAGTCACTACCGGCTGCACTATATAGAGCGTCATATTAAATGTTAACATTATGTAATATCAAATTTGTTCAATGTTTTAATGTAAAATAATACGATATATTGAGTAGGAGCAGTGGTGACTTAAATTTGACACTGTAGATTTAACTCTAGTAATGTATACTCTTACATTTACGTGAGTCGATAGTTCTTTAAATATTATAAGCGACGTGCTCACACTCCCGTACGCACGACCCACGAATAGAGTCGCAAGGGTTACCAACCCCTGAATTACACGCAGCTCGCTCACGAGGGCGGTTAAGGGTAGCGAATTTGCATATTATAAGTAGTACATGTTATCGAGCTTGATATCATCGAGGTGGGGCCCTCGTTATTCTGTGCATGCGTACGATTCGAATGTGCGACGAGCATCTATGGTATTAGACCGCTTCTAAGAGGCGTTCAGAAGATTCAAACTCTCGCGACAAACACTTTAGCATAGCTTGTTAACGATTTTCTAATAAGGGAGATGACGGCGAGTGATATTATTAGCAGTGATTGTCGATGACGCGTTTAACAACTTAATTTTTGTGAGAGAAATTCGTTCTACATAATTCGTTTACATAAAAATAAATAAAAAGGTTCGTGTCTTTTATATAGAAAGGATGGCTTTGCTGTATTAAAAAATTTAGTTAGACATAAATCTCAAAATAATTTTATTAAACTATCAAAATAATTGTTAAGTCGATCAAACTAATTGCTGGAATGTCAAGATTTTTTGTAGTATTGCTCATCATGTTTGATAATCCTAAACTGTTAAATTTATAATGTTAAATTATACCCAAGTTGAGTTTTTAATCATTTCTATAGGTCGCTACTGCTCCTATTCAATATGCCATTAATTTAAAACAATGAAGTTAACAATTTGACTCAAGAAAATGTATTAAATTTGATTCAGATTTTTTTAGTTCATTTATTAAGTGTATACATAACTATGAGCTTACTTTAAACCTAACTAGAAAAATAGATTGATTAATTGATTTATATCTTGACACACATGAAAGTTAAAAATGACAAAATGTTATTTTCAGTTCAAGGAATTAAATTACCAATGCTTCTTTTGATCTCTAATAGTGTACATAATTATTTTGATGGTCCAACAAAATTATTTTTAGATCCGTTATGTAGCTAAATTTTAGATACTTCATCAAAATCATTCTTTGCTTATAGATTTTTATTGATTATTTTGGACATAAATGGAATATAATAACGAGTTCTAATAGTATAATAATAAAATAGTCCTTTTCCATCTATATTAGTATTATTTTGATCATTACTTCTAAGTAAATATCGCGAATTAGAATACGTGACAAGTTATTGTGCAAGGAAGACGGTGAAATCCTTGCAAGACGGCACCCGGATTAAATGGATAGGCTCCTAAGGTCGAGTAGGACGTGGTCCTTCGTGCGGCAGGAGCTTAAGATATTGTTTCGAAGCAACGCTGTTGCCTTAGGATAATCAAGAAGACTTAATCCCAACAAGCTTAACGCCGATGAGTTCATAATTCTGGACGTTTCTACTCGTGAAACTCGCCTCTCTCCTTCGTGCTTGTAATTTGTCCCTTATTATCATAGTTTTTATATTTTCACTTTAATTACATAATTAAGTACATTATGCACTAAGAAAAACTTTAGTGTCCTCAGCAAAACTGTTTAATTGAAGCATTTTTAAATAGTAATCAAATATTTTATTTGTATAACAAAAAATTTAATTGCTTTTCCAAAATAATTTCTCTGCATTGTAACTAACAAAAATATTTGTTTATACTAAGTAAATAATTTAGTTTGCATAAAATTACAATTTTCTTTGGTACATTATAACTAAAAATGTTTGTTTGGTTGTATATTTCAACGAAATTTTTGTTATAGTAAAATTTTGATTCACAGAACAAAACATTTTGCCTAGCGTGTATATCTTTTCACAATTTTTCAAAAAGAAAAATTTATTTGCAACGTTTTTCTACTTTTTTAATGTTCTTTTAAATCTTGTTACACTTGCTTCAAAATCGATAGGAAATTCAAGATTATTTTCTCGCGCCATAAAAGTTCTTCAGTTATTTTTTCAGTTAATAAAAAATTCGCTGTTATAAGAAAATGTTTCAATGATCTTATAGTTTTATGAAATAGCTTTCAGAAGTCTAACGATCTTCGTGAAGAGTAAATTCTTTTGCACGCTTCCGAGCGAAGTAGGAGCGAATCGTTAAGGCATGCGACGAAGCTTGCTTAACGGGCAGAGCTTAATTAATAAGGACACGCGATATCCTAACTTGTAAGACGATGGTAGGATGATAAAGCATAGCTGAAGCCCTCGGGGGAGTCCTTTGTTGTCGAGAGGGTCAGGACAGGCGACCTGCCACTTTAACCCGCCTTAAGGGGTTGCGCCTTAAGGAGTTCGAAACCTTGCGAGTTTGAAACCCGATGGCCAGGGTCCAGAAAGGAGATTCCACGATGCGCTCTATTGTATTTTACATAAAGTTATCTCGTAACGAAAATATGTCTGTTGATCGATAGACATGTACTCTCTATAACAATGTAAACCTCTACAACTCGTCCTATCGTTGTGTGCAAGTTTCGCAGATAATAGAAACAAATGCAAATTGTTTTACCGGCGGCTGAAGATGGGTCACTTGTCTCTTGATGTGTGCCAAAGTCGCGCTAGGCGGAGGATGCAAGGCCATATTGGCAAAAACCAGCCTCTCCTCGTAATCGTACTCGCAGAGGATCTTGTTATCACAGAGATAAAATCTGTCGCCCACGCAAAATCTGCAATCAGAAAATAATTTTGTCATGTTACAATTGTTATGTTGCATAGTAAAAAAAACATTTTATACTTGTGTCAAAATCGGTCTTTGTTAAAATATAATACGTTAAATTTTTACAATAATATTTGAGATTAATTTAATATAATATGATTGTTTTATTTGAATATTTTGTATTAAATTGATATTCGATATTTTTTAGATATTAAAATAACATAATTTATTAATGAGTGAACAGTAGTAGGAAAATTATATATTTTAAAACATAAATTTTAAGATAAATGAATTAAATGTGTTTTAATCAGGTAAGATAAATAATTTGATTTGTGGTCAAAGTGAATCTAGTGCTTAAGCACAATATTTCTGTATCAATTTATATATTTATTCAATTCTGCAAATCGTTCGTCGAAATCTTATTTAGTTTTAAAATCATCAACAAAACTGAAAAAGATTTCGCCATTTGCAGAAGAATTGGATATATTTATATATATATATATATATATATATATATATATATGTATATATAAATTCATCGAAATACATATTTAAGCATTAAGATCCGCTTTGACCGAAAATAGATTATTTCTCTTAATTGATTTAATCTTATTCAGTCTTAATTTTGAATTATAATTGTTTACATGTGTTAGTTTAATATTTTATAAAGAAGAAATATGATTTCACAATTTGCTGTGTTAATGTGTTATAATATGTTAATTTTTTACATAATATTTGTATAATTATTTCATCTGCAATCTGGATCTTTTTTGCTCAGTCTATTTGTTTTACTGTTCCAAAAAAATGTTCTGAAAAAATTCAAGATTACTTTTCAACATCTCTATTATATTACCAAAGTTTTAACACAAACATTAAAATGTTTATTTAATAAAAATTTGAATTTAAGCAAAAATGGGGAAAAAATTTAAAAATGAAATTTTGTTTATACCAAAAAAGACTCAGGTTGTAAAAGGAGGGTTAAATTATCACAAAAAATGAATGAGCCATTTGAGACATGTAAAACGTGTTAAATTTAACGCAAATCCTTCAACTACATTATTTTGGATCGAGAATGCACAATCTTGGTAAAATTATCATCATGTTAAAAAAGCCAAGAGGAAATAGCGAATAAACGAAGATATACATTATCGTATTGATTCACAATTCAGAAGTGGCGAAGGAACGAGAAGAAATTCCGTTTACGACTTACACGAAATCGGTAGAGCGGTAAAGTGCTAATTTCTTTTAAGGTCACTTTCCGTTTTTGCTCCGCCGAGGAAATTGCTAGAAAATAAAAACAAGCAGCGAAACGCCGCCCCTTATCCACTTTTTCCGGCGTCTCTCAAGACTCTTAAATGTAAATTTTCAGTCGATTCCCAGACATCGTACTCAGATTACCCGCGATTGGAAATCTCTGCACTTCTCCCACATTCTTACTTTCTTCTTTCCCTTTACAAATTCTAACTTTCTTCTTTATTGATAAGGTATTTATCCTTTCAGACCTGATTTTATTGAAACCATGTTAAAAGAAGTTTTTTGTCTAATTCAATTTAAGAGCACCTTAATAAGTAATTCATATACTAAACAATTAATGTTTTAAATTAAAAGTTTGACTTTTTTCTCAACATATATACATTATTATGTATATCTCAGATGATTAAATAATTTCAATGGATAATGTCTTTAAATTTCATGTGCACGTATAATGTCACGCAAGGTCTGAAGGGGTTAAACAATGTCGTCTGATACGACAAAAAATCCTTTAGCAGATCATGTACAAGTTTGACGTCTGTCCATTCTCGAATGTCAACGAATAAAATCCGAGAGACGGCACCGAAGAGTGTATTTTAAAATTCAGCGTATAAAAGTCCGGGATTTTGGAGTAATCCGACACGATATACATACCGCTGCACGCGGATTTCGGGATGGCGGCGAGGTACCGAACGTGCTCGGTTTGCGATATCAGAGAAATAAGGTTGCCACCGAGGGTTATACGCATCGACCAACTGTCGCTCTCGCGAAGGGGCGGGCGGGCTGGCGGGGCCTTTAAAATCAAAGATTTCACATTTTTCGTTTTTATTGCCGGTTTAAAAGTCAATTTTTTCTCTACTGCGTTCTTTTGGGGGAGAAGGCGTCCGTATAAAGGACGTTACGCCGGAAATGCTAAAGAGCCATGAAAGGGGGCTCGTAAGAACGGCCGGCGCTTCCACCGCGTCACAATGGATCGGAGATCCACGAGGGACACGAAAATCGTTTTGCTAGGATCCACGGGGGCTTGAAAATTCCCGTCAGGCGCCGGGCACATCACTCTCCGGACGTTATACATACCGCGTATCGATCGTGCGATATGACAGGCGTGTTCGCGCGATTTGTCTTAGAAGAGTCTCGCGGAACTTCCAGTCCTCTTTGGGACACGTCGAATCCCTTGGATATCATTAATGTAGACCATTCGGCGAGAATCTTCTCTCGTCTTTATTTCTTATAAGACTTCGGATATTGCTACATTATCTTTGATTTTATGCTATTTTTTAAACTCTTAACGATCCAATAAAAGGAATATATCCTGAGTTTGTATTTGCAGTTGAGACAATTTTCGATAAGTTATACGTTTGTTTCAAATGTAATATAATGTACACGAAAATTTGTCATATAATATTGCGACCGTAATCACTAATTGATTTAAAAAGTTTTTAAATTTTATAAATTAATTTAGACCGCTATGTGTAATATAAGTAGAGATAGGTTCAGTACGATCGCGAGACAGTGAGAAACATATTTATGTTAAAAATAGTTCATTCTCTCTCTCTCTCACACACACATACACACACATCTTTATTAAAACTTTGTGTTGAATTTTTAACGTATTATTTTATCATTGGTGTTTATTTTTTAATGTCAAAATAACGTAATTTATGAGTAAGTGAAATAATGCAGTTTAAAATATAAATTTAAAGAGAAATGAATAAAATATTTATGTTAATTTAATATGTCATAAATATTAATTTTTCTGAGAAAATATACTTTTACAATTTGCTTACAAACTATGTCAATGTTACATTTTTTTTATTAACATATTTCTGTTCTCCTAACAAAATTATTTTTAGATTTAGCTGAATTTTTAGACACTTCAAAACTGTTATAACGAAACCGTTCTTTCCAACTAAAATCTTTTAATTATATAAACTGCGCGCCGCTTACTGTTGGATCTGAAACGTATAGCTTGGAAAAAAAAAGCGCACCTCGATACTGGCAATGCTTCTCAACGAAACGAACGACTTTCTGTCAAAGAGCCGTCGATGAGCCGTGTAAACTCCACATCAGTGCAAATGTCGGGAGTGAAACCTCTATACCTTCGCATTCGTAATTCGCTGCTGAATAATAAAAGCATTTTTTCGGTAAGGAAGTGGTAGAAGGGTACATCCGGCTACATACGGCCATTGCGTATTCAACGGATGTGCTGTCCCGCGCATGAGATCCTGTTTCGGTTTTATGTCGGGATTTCTCTGTCGAGTGGTTTATACCGGCGCTTATGTAAATGCAGACGTGATTTTTTTCAGCACCTACTCGAGCCACCTGAACGAGCGCGCGCGGCACATTTGTAGCATTCGAAACGAGCCGCTCGGCCGACGTCTCCTTTCGAGAACCATGAAATCGTAATGAGATTTTACGACGTATCCGGTAGAATCTGCATTTTTTCCGGTGGACTCAGCGACGCGTCTTCGCGGCCGCTGAGCAATTTGTACGTCGACGAAATCAATGCACGCAAGTCGCGAAACAGGCATGCCTATTTTACATATAAAATTTGATTTGATATAAAGTGATGAATGTACAATGTGATTGTGTAAAATTGTAGTTTGTTGTGTAGAATTGTAGTTTCTTCGAAGTTTATTTCTGTGTCTAGCTGTGACAATTTTGATGAAATATCTGGCAAAAGTATTTTTTCCAAAACTATCTATTGTATAATATTACAGTAACCGACAGACATTTATGATGCTCACTGTAAATGAAAACAAATTTGAGTTGATTGAAGTTCTTGTTACAGACTGCTGTAAATAGCTTATCGATTACGGCTTCAAAACAAAGTATTTGATCGACAATCATATTAGTTATGAGGAGTTAAGACTGCATCAGAGAGATTATTATTGATACAGATTCTATTATAAGCTTTTGCTATAATCAACACAGGTTTACTGCGATTACAGTTTCAAAACAGAGTATTCGATTACGCATACGTCGTATTAGTTGCATCGTTTTGTACATAGCTTTGATTTTGTTCATCACGTTAAAGATTTTTGCTATTCGTCGTTGATTTGGAAATATAAAGATGAGAGGTTATAGGACATTCAAGATTATTGATATAGAGATTATTGATTCTGCTGTAAATATAGGTTTACTGATTATAGTTCCAAAACGGAGTATTTAATTTCGTAAATCGTATTAGTTATCTCGTTTGGCATATAAACTCACCGATTTTGTTCATCGCCGTTAAAGATTTTCGCTAGCCCGTCGTTGATTCAGAAATATAAATACGAAGTGTTATACGAATGCATCAGAGTCTATGTTAGAAACTTGATCGAAAATAGCAAGCGACGATTTTATATTTAGTTTGATTGGCGACGGCATAATTGAACTTAAAATATCTGCCTGATCAGCACGTAAATCTGCGATGTCTCGATCGATAGTCGAGTGTGGGTTAATCGTAATATATAAATACGCTCCCCTTTGTTCAGTGAAATTAGGACACACTGTCGGGTATCCGAGGTATATTAACGATTTCGTACGTACAAGTTTAGCATTCGTTATCGATTGCGTCTATTCAATTAAGTGCTTGAATTAATTACACTGAATGATCCGTTTATCTCGTGAAAAAAGTTCAATGCATCTTTAAAATATGAAGCTTCAACTTAGAATCGTCCTCCTCCGATTTCTTCTACGAATAATCCGCATTAGATAATCTATCGTACGTTTCGGCAATGCGATTTTTGACAGGGTACAGACATTTCATTTTGT